TGTCTGGACAGTATAGCAGATCATGCTCACTCTGAGTTATGTGTGAGCTCTCCTTATTAAAGTCTGGCTAATGTATAGTTCAGATCAAATATAGCTATAGTAGTCTACTGCTTATTGTATTTAAACTATATACTGTGTTTTTAAACAATGTGCAATGTGAAACAAAACATTTAAAACAGTAGTATGTTGCAGTGCATTTGCATGTTAAATGCAATGTTGTGTTAAACATGTCTGAACTTGGCAGTCTAACCAAAGAACCAAGAAAGAAATATACTGTAAATGCTGTTGATATTGCTTTCGTCTCATTCATCACACTTGAACGGTTTACTGCTTTGAAGTGTGGCATACAGTATCTAGTATCTCTGGTAGTACACTGCACATTTGCAGTAGGCAGTCTGCATATTTCATGCATATAAAAAGTTAGCATACTGCAACATTGTGAGTAGTTGCAAGCCATTCTAAATGTACTTGGCACAAGACTGCAGGAGAGCATTGTGTGCAATGGAATAATGAATAATGAGTTCAAATAAAACTAGCATTAGTAAATGAACTCTACTTCAGCACACACGCATTGTCATACACATGCACATTCATTCATGTTATATCTGGGTATTGAGTATTGATTTCACGCATCCTGTGAGACAGACAGAGATGATTTGAAACATTATGTAAAGTGTTGAGGCGAGACCGCTCATCGATTTCTGAGGAGGTCAAGGCAGAGGTTGCAGGCATCATCTAGAATAGAGGCCTGCTCATATCCATCTCTCCACAGCGCTGACATTAATGAATCATTTAATTTGATCAATTTAGAGGCTGAACGCTTTAATGCAGATGTTCTGTCATGTATGATGACAGGTATTATCAAGCATGGAAAGAAGAGCAGCCATACACGCAGTATTGATAGTAGGTGTGAAAAGTATGTGAAGGCAGCCAGCACAGCAGAACTTGATTATTGAGTATACAGAGGAACATTTTATTTCTCAAAGGCTGTTTTTTCATAACTCGAGGAGACATAAAACGACAAAAATTGGTATTTTGGATCTTATTGTTTTTTAATGTTTTTTTTTTTATTTTGAGAAGTTTTGTATTGTATTTTTTTGTTTTGTTTTTGGTTGTTTTGTTTTGTTTTGTTTTTTTGTTTTGTTCTGTTTTGCTTTGTTTAGTTTAGTTTAGTTTAGTCCATGGGATCCAATGTTGTTTGGACTGCACTAATTTTCAAAATATCATCTTTTGTCTTCCATAGAAGAAAGGTTCATTGAATATCAACATGTTCTCAGGTGTTTTTCTAGAATTCTTTAGAATAAATTTTAAAAAGACACAATTGAGGCAATTGTTGAGAAATAATAGAAGTATAGAACTAGACAATTAAAATGAACATCAGATAATTTGATTTTAGAGGAGTTTCACTTCATTGGCTAATCTAATCACAGTTTGATACATTGTTGAGATCTCTTTTGTCAAAACATACATTTTGGAAGCAAAATCAGTTAATCTAGAAAGACACCCATGTAAGATCACTAGGGTTTCTTTCTCTGGTGTTTAGGAGTTAATGACCTTATCCTGTTAAGACATGCTATGTTCTGTACAGTAATTAGTGCTTGCTAATTCACTATTGCTCATGCTTAGAGTTAATTGTCATGGAAAACGAGGCTGGATTCAGGTGCTTTATTGTACAGAGATTATCACCGCGGGCAATGAGCACCTACGCGGACAGTTAGTGTGGACGTGGAATCCCCAACCACACAGATGGGTGGATAGCAGTGGCTGGAACAAGCCGCAACAGCGGCAGCTCACTAATCCGAGCGAGAGGCTGAGAAGCCCAACAACGAGACCGCAGAGTCCCAGGGTAGGCGGATGCCGGAGGAAGCCCACGGTTCCTGAATGCACAGAGAGGTGCGGGATAATAAACAGACCGCTACGAGCACTGGAGCCTGGACGAGACAAGACAGGACTGGTAAGCGATACTAACACTGACAGTCAGAGCAAGGGAATAATCACAACAATCTGACAAAAGACAGAGAAACTCGAGGAGCTATAAGGGGAAGCTAATGTAGGGTTTTTCCAACTCAAAAGGGAAATATTTATGACTAATTATAACTGGTTATGATTAATAATAAATATTTAGATTATATCTTCGAATTAACTGTAGCAGAATCAATATTACAATTATTTGATCTGTCTGTCCACCAAGCAGACAATATAATCATTTCAAGGAACGATTATTTTTCTGGCCAAGGAAGAATAAACTGTCCTTCTTTATGCAGTGCTAGCAGTAATTCAGCAAATGTAGCAAGGGTTCAAACATTCATTGACTTCGAATTGTGAGCATCAAACAGAGACAATCAGTTGTGAATATAAGGGATTTAATAAATGAAACTATATCTAACATATAACTAAGCAAAACACATATATATATACAGAATGAAACAAAGTAAGGAAAAGAGAGAGGAAAGTTATTTCGGGCTAATCACTTTTGAGGGTTCCTATTCTGGGTGGACTGGCCAATACCAGGCGTGAATTTTTGAGCGGGAGAAGTTTCCTTTGTTTCCCTTTATGGGCCATTTGCATGTTTTATGGCCGGTCTGGAATTTCTGTTTCTATTAGTTTTAACCCAAAATATAGTACAAATCGTATGATGCGTTTCACATGTAATTTATATGCAAATGTCAAAAGCTAAAAGGGTCTCTTAAGCCATAAAACCCAAAGATCAAGCATGATTCTATGCAGACGCTACACTAATGAGATGACCAGATCCAGGTGTGAAACAAGAGGACAGCAGAGAAACAAGGAGGGCGGGGAAATGATCATGCTGACATATGCGCACGTGGCGAGCTGTCAAAACAAGCCACGCACAACACACAAACACAGAGACAACAAGAAACAGGTGATCAGACCCGAGACCCGACAGTTAATGATTTAAACAGTCCTGCAGTTTGCAAACTTAATTTACTATCAAATCTTTAAAAGATGTTTACAGTAGTTTGTTGAAAGCACTTTGTAGCAATTAAACTAGAATAGTTTATTCTGCTTTACTGTTTTCTATGTAGTGTTAGTGAAATAAATCAACACTTTTTACTCTGGACCAAAATTCGAACATCTAGCGTAGCGTTAGTTCTGGCAAGTCACGTTAATCAAGCTCGCATCAGCTGACTCTCAGCTGATCCCCGTCAACCTATGGGAATATGACGCCTATCTAAGCATTCATATACAGGTGCATCTCAATAAATTAGTGTTTGTGGCTTACCCTCCTTGTGAAGGGTGTCAATGATTGTCTTCTGGACAACTGTCAGATCAGCAGTCTTCCCCATGATTGTGTAGCCTAGTGAACCAAACTGAGAGACCATTTTGAAGGCTCAGGAAACCTTTGCAGGTGTTTTGAGTTGATTAGCTGATTGACATGTCACCATATTCTAATTTGTTGAGATTGTGAATTGGTGGGTTTTTGTTAAATGTGAGCCAAAATCATCACAATTAAAAGAACCAAAGACTTAAACTACTTCAGTCTGTGTGCATTGAATTTATTTAATACACGAGTTTCACAATTAGAGTTGAATTACTGAAATAAATTAACTTTTCCACAACATTCTAATTTATTGAGATGCACCTGTATAAGGTCCCTGAGAATTATTAGCAGTTTTTGCATTGCTCAATAGCTAATTACCCTCCTCCATCCCCAACTCCTCCTCTGTCAGTCAGGATTCAGCCTTCTGATTCTCCTTTGAATCAGACTAATTCTAAAATGTGTACATAACATTACTGAACTTTAACGATATCTGCAATACATTTATGTGGGTTCTCTTCTGTTTACCCTGGGGGGTTATCGCTGCTCTCCCTGCTCGCATCCATGCTAGGCTGCATGGATGCGCAGGGAGTTCTTGCCCAGAACAGAAACATACTGCCAATCCAAACTGTATGCTAATTGTCAATCATCTTTAACGATAGTGGTCCTGACAGAAATAAAGTCTATATATACGCTAGTGTTACAAGGTTGTTGTTTTTTTATGTTTTTGTTTTTGCTTTTAAAGAAAGAAATACTTTTTTTCAGCAAGGACACATTCAATTGATTGAAAATGGCAGTAAATACATTTATAATGTTACAAAAGATTTCTATTTCATATATGCACAGTTCTTTTGAACTTGAAAATTTATATCAATTTATACTTGAAATTTATATCAAATGCCTTTATGAGCAGAAAATCTGCACATTACAATGATTTCTGAAGACTGGAGTAATAACTAGGGCTGAACGATTTTGGAAAATAATCTAATTGCGATTTTTTTTTTCCAATAATGCGATTGCGATTTAATATGCAATTATTATTTTTTTAAAGCTCTTTATGTTCTGTATTATTCAACAAAGACAAGCTATAAATCATTGTATGGTATGACCAACACACTATTTGATTAAACATAAATGTTCTTTTCTGTAGGCCAGGCCTATATGTTACGATGAAATTAGGTGATGCATGAATTGATATGAATGACATTTTTATTTAACAACTACAATCACAGTATATTGACTGATTTGTTGAACTTCCAACCTTGTAAGCATGTAATAATTATGACAACATAAAGCACTGACAAATAAGCCTGGTGTAAACATTAATATGAAAGTCAGTAACAAATCACACAAACTAAAGTAGATTGCAGAAATATAAAAACAAATCTGTTGCTTTACCACACTACTTTAGGTCATTCGCAGTCACTGTAATAGACATATGTAAACATGTGCACTGCACTTTCTAAACACTGTCTGTTAACTTTAGACCAGTGCTTCTCAAACTTTTTTGGTTGCGCCCCCCTCAGACTACCAAATAATTTCACTAAACATTATGAAAAAAAACCACCTGCATCACTTGAAACATTGAAAAATAGCATAGAGAGAATAACTTATTATTATTATTATTCTCTCTGTTGTTTATTTATTTTTTGTGGGTTTCTTGCTGTCCGCTAAGTAGGGATGGTTCGATACCACAATTTTGACTTCGGTACAATACTAGGATCTAATACCTCGGTATCGATACTAAATCGATACCATAGGTGACAAATAACCAGCCTCAAAATATAAGTGAATTGAAAACAATTTTATTAAATGCACTGCTTGGAACTCTGCATGAAAAATTGTGCAAACAAAATGTAAAAAAAATAGTAAAATGGGGAGACTGAATAAAATGGGTTCACATCGTCATATATTTTCAGTCTTTATTTTTTTGCTAGCTCCTTTTGTTAGCTGCAGATTTTTGGACAGGAAAACGAATGTGTCAACGCTGTCACTTGATAGTCTGGACCTTAGTGGGCTACAGATCAGGCCTGATGTACTGAAAACTCTCTCAGAGGCTGAGCTTGATGCTGGAATGCAAAGGTAATATTTGGCAAATGTTGAAAGAATGGGGAAGCTTGATTCATGCCTTTTCCACCGAGAAAGTGGGTTTTCTGTGGCACTGGTCTCTTCCATGGTCTTGTATGTGTGGAGTAGGGCTGCACGATAAATCGCACGTGATATTTAACGCGCATCTTGTCAGAAATCCGGTTCTGTAATCAGCGGTAAATCTCCATCACCTGCGGGCTTTCACATTGAGCAGCATTAACTACACAGAGCCGTTCACCGACAAGCTGCGCTAAACCACAATCATATTTAGCAGTAATATGCCCTTCATCACTATTACTAATACTAAAAATAATATTACTGATCTTATTAACATAAAAGTCTAAATTAAATCAGTTGAAAGAGACACATTTACCGGTCGATCATTTAACTCCTTGAACAAATCAGGATGAGCCAGTGACAAATGTTCCCATGGCAGCACATGATTTATAGCAGCGCTTGCAGACTGGTAAATTAAGGTCGGTTGGTTCACCTTTTTCATCACTTTTGTAGGCAAAGTAATGCCATATTTCACTTCTACCGCTTTCTTTTTTTATTCATTTCGGACGTGTAGAGTGAGTTTCACCTGTTTTATCCATTGTCGTTTCTCCGTTGTCATGCTTGCCGGTTTCGC